ATGGCGGCGAACCCTCTCTGCCAGTTCTATGTCACAACAATTGGAGGAAAATGAGGGATACGATACACAGTTCTGTCACTTGCTCGCTTCAAAAACTGGTGAATGAGGTTGGCATTGCGTCAAACTCATCTCGCCTGACATGCCCCTTCACCCGCAGAGAACCGGACTGTACTGAGAACTCGTCCAACTACGCCCTTTCTTCGCCTTATGCACGTACAAACGCAGCTCATCACAGGGTCCTTTACTGGGCATTTCGAGCGGGTTTTTAGTGCTTCTTTCTTCACTTTCGTTTTATTTACCATCTTGTCTAGTATTTGGGCCGCATAAATAACCTTATGTGGAGCGTGCCATTAATAGGGCCTGTTATATCAAAATTAGACAAAAATTGGACAAAGAAAGATACGACTTACTGCTTTCAGCTGTATTGAAAAGCTCGGTGATTTCGAAAGGGTCGGTCTGGCTGTCGTTCACAGTCACATACAACTTGTAAGGCGTAGCTGCGCGAAGATTTCCAATTGTAACCGGCGAAATGGCATTCGTTTGTGAGAATACTTCCTGACCATTCAAGCCCGTTCTCCGAACCAATCTGCAAATCTTGTTTGAGAGGAAATCTGATTTACGGAATAAAAAAGTTATTCCGACCACTTACCTCAAGCCAATTTTCAGCTGTGGTCCTTGCTGAACATCCCAGCTCACATTCGCGGATACATCGTTCGTGACGATCGTTAAATTCTGGATAGTTCGCGGGGCTAAAAGAGTTGTTATCACTTCTACATAAACAGAAGGTTCAGTGCAATCACAGCATAAAACCACTTCACAAAATCACACATGACCAAATCAATCAACCTTTTTCAGGAGAAATAATAAAAAAGATCACTGCCTCACAACAACCAAATTCCGTCTACCGCAATTATCGGAATGACGAGAAATATCAGTAATACTTGAAGCGGGTGTCACGGTACCACAGCAAAGCAAGATCATGCAGCAAATTTAGAATCTAGAGCGCCTGTGGTAACTGGGTATACCATTTCAAAGGCATTTGCACAACACCTTCATAGAATCTACGGTGAATGAAAGATAATTTTATATAGGACACTATTTACCCTTTACTGCCCCAACCATCCAGAATGAGCCAGTTTCTGACCGACTTTTTTCTCCGTGGACAGATTTGGCTCAAATGTTGTCTCCTGGGGTAGTTTGACCTCCTGAATACGAATATAACATTTCCTTAGCCTGCAAATTCCTGGCGCCCGCGCCACAGGCGCTGGTGATTGGGGATAATTTGGCGCCAGCGTCTGTAGCGTGGGCGTCAGGAGGTTTTAGGCCCAGCGGATGCGGTATTCGTGTTTAGAAAGTCAGACTACATACACCCCTGGGAACAAGTTCTCAGCGAATTTGGTGTCCGGGTATTTTGGCGCAGGCGCCTGTGGCGCGGATGTGCCGGTCCCGTGCCGAGCGGATGTAATATTCATGTTCAGAGGGTCAAACTACCCCAGAACAAATTTTTAGCCAATTCTGCCAACGCAGAAAAAAGTCGGTCAAAAACCGGCCTGTTTTTGGAAGATTGGGGCAGTGAAGGGTAAATAGTGCCTTATATGGAAATCATTTTTCGACGACAAAATCGTAAACATGCATTCACAAAAACCATGCGTTTATATTCGGATCTGGAGTCTTCAACAAACACTCAAATCTCACTGTCAAACCTACCAATTGATGATGGCCTCAATACTTTTTTCGATCTTTTCGAAAACAAGTGCAGGCGCTTTTCACGTTCTACAAGATAAAGATATGCAAACTATAGCTTTGTTATAATAACGAAACTTGTCACACGAGGCGATGAAGACTGAGTGAGCTTTAGCCAAAAATATTGAAAAAAAAACATTATGAAGGGGCCGCTGAACGTAAAAAATATTTCTTCGACTTAAAATATGCAGAATTGTGAACAAGAAGTCTGACAAATTCAAAACTATAACAGGAGATCTGCTATGTGAAAAGTGCTATGTAAAAAGAATCCGCTATAGGTAAAAACGAATTTTCTCAACTAGCGGAAATGACAACCTGGACAATGAATACTTTCGGAATCGTAAAAAAATAAGTTACGGGCTCTAACAAAACTCACCCTTTACTTGAAATTCGATCGTGTAATTCACTGACGGCTGCTGGTTCGCATTCACGTGGCACATGTATGAGCCGCTATCGGAGAGTTGTACGTTCCTAATATCCAACTCCCAACAATACGGCGTATTCATCTTCTCGAATTCCGTCATCTACAAAAAAGAAACTTTTGGTCAATACTCGTCAGATGATACTTAAGATTTCTGTAAAAAGATGGGTGGACTCTGGAAATATAACCTCCTTAAAGGCCCAAAAAGCTTCAGAAAATATCGTCTTCACCCAAAAATTATCGAAAAAAGCTCCAAAAGTTGACAGTCTAGTTCGTCTTGCGGACTTCTAAAGAACGAGAACCCTTTCCGATGGAAAAAAAACCCAAATCTCAAGAATATTAAATCCCTCCACTGGACTCATGGTAGATACACCAACCTTCCTGACACAAGCTCGGTTATTCTTTAGAACTAGCGTAACATTCTTTCTGCTCTCCTTTCAAAATCTCCCATCACACACAAAATGAAATCTCTCTTTTACCCTTGTATCTTCACGCAGCCTCAGGATGCAGACATTTTGACGCAGACCGCACTCCTACTCATGAATAATTCCCGTTATGAAAAAGTGACGGATAATTCTTTAGGCTGGCCAACCTCAGTTTTTGATGCGACACACACTCTACTTTCATGTGCAAATGCAGTGACATTCTGAAGATTTGCGCACGCCTGTGGATGAGTAATGGTGCATTTATCCCGAATTTTCAAGCTTATCTTTCCACGAAGGTTCCTATTACCTTGATTGGTCATAATTCCCAGGGTTACCCACAGAAGGGTGGTACCAAGTACCCAAATGCTCCAGGATAGAAGCGAGAGCCAATACAAAGTTTACCCGGAGACTGTTCGCGCGGCAGACGGCACCACTCGGACAAAGCTATTCCCGCGATTCGCGATTGTCGTAACACCACAATTTTCCATCAAATTTAATGACATTTTTCGAATTTTGCTCCCACCATGTAGAATTTGGACCACGTTTGCCTCATCGAATTCTATTCAATTGCAACGTAACGAAAACTTCACAGAGATGGGGCAGCTGAAAAGAGGGCACACTGATACTTACATGGTGAAATGGATGATTAGTTGGCTCGCGTACAACTGTTGTGTTTTGCACGAACAAGACCTAAAATGCAACCATGATCATAAGCACAGAAATTTCTGCCATCACAAAATACGATTCAATAAGTGGACGAAATCCCTCACCCCTGCAACATCGATCAAACCTTGAGGATCCATGTTGACGCAGCAATACAGTGTTACATCAGTCCCCTTGTACACTGCATCCGATGGGTACGCAATACCCAAAACTGCCAATTCTCCTACAAAGAAACAACCGTGACTTGCGCTACAAGAACCAGAACAATAATCATTCACACCCATACACCTTTTAACTTTTAGAAATCATAGTACGACAAGTAACAGAATTCGTTCCAATTTTCAAATTGTATACAATGACGACTTAAGTATCTCGTGAACTCTCATTAAAGTCAAAATTTTCTCATATATAACGTCCGTAAAGCGGTCGTTAGTAAGGGCGCGAAACAGTAATTGGTTCAATAGTAAAGTAGACTGACGCTATTGTGCCGGTGCCCGCGAAAAAGAAACGCCGACCTCACTATGCCACTATTACGATCCAAAAACTAAAAAATATATTCTTTTCAGTGAAATACCTGCCAATTGATGCATTCGGTGCCGCACCGGCTCACAAGCATGCTGACATCCGATTCTTAGGCGGCTGGCTGCCTAATAATCTGCAACGCTAATACAATTGGCGCCACTACCCTTCCCACCAAAACTGACGAAAACTTGTATTGGGGTTATTTGACGCTTGTTCACGAATATGACATTCGTTTTTGACGCTGGCGCCACTTAGCTCCGCTTGCTGCTAATTTGGCGCCGCCACCATTTTTCACCTGCTCAAGCTGAACCTCGGAGGAGGAATGATTCTCCTCACCTGACTCAGCCTTAGCAGAGCACAGATGATTAGAGTGCTCTGCATTTGACGCCATGAATGAATGTTATAGTCTTGATCAGAGTGTCCCCCCTCCCCCGTATAAAAGTTTTCCTTGATTCTGATGAGACAGATGACGGCGACGAACTGGCGCCTAATGACGCCAAATGGCGGAATGAATATTATATTCGTGTTAAGGCACCGAATAACGTCGTGGGCGAAGTTTTAGGGGAGAGACGATTTTTCTTTCTTGCACGTGCGTGGATTAAAGGCCTTTTTTCCACTACTCCAATTCATTGGTAAAAAAGCACAACTATCTTCCCCTAATGATGGTTTTGAAGGGCCATCACATTTCTCCTCATCATCACTGTAAAGCCCAGAGATTAGGAAACATTGATTACAGCGCTGTTTGTTTACACATAACTTCGGCTCCCAAACAAATGGACGAAACCACATGCTCCCATTCGGTCGAAATTAGCTGTAGATGAAAAAAACTTCACACAATCTCTGAAGAACGGATTATTAGCGACCTAAGCAATTAATTACAACTCTTCTGGATACGGTGAAACCAATATAATTACCTACTATCAATCAGCATGAAAGTCTCACTAATGAGCGTGCCTAGGACTAAATTTTTCTTTTTATCAGACGGAACAAAAAAACAAGCTCGGCATTGTCGCAAATTTGATGTTACACTTCTGTGCCATCGAGGCCGTTATGTGAAATTTTTACTATTGGCCAAACGTGTAGATCAGATGATCAGATCGTCATCTTCAGAGGCCCAAACGTGGCTCAATATTTATGATTTGCCCTCTAAACCGTGAAACGCCTCGTCCCCTAGCGTTTCCGACCAAACTTAAAGAAACGATCGACGTTCTCCCATAAGTAAAACTTACCAAGTCCAACGGTGCATGAGCGAGGTGAGGCCTCCCAGTAGTTATAGTAACATAAGTGAGATCCAACGTGTCGTCCTTATATGGTAGCTATATTGAGGGCTTGCCGTATAAACGCTTACATCAGTGGCTCGCAATACGGCAAAACCGGCAAGAAATCAACTGTTATGGATAGGCACTCATCACCTTTGTTCATCCTAGGATTCCCTACGAAAATCCGGAATGCCTCAAGCGCTTTTCTAGCGGAAATCTCATTGAGGATTCAGGAGCATTGCGAATCGAGTCCGATGTGAAGGACAGGATCTTAGACGAGACTGGGATTTCTGCTAGGAAAGCGCTCGAGGCATTTTGGATTTTTGCAAGGAATCCCCAATGAGCACCGAAGAGAGTGTTCATCCATAACAGATTACTTTCTAAACTTTTCACCGCATTGCGAGCTACTGATGTAAGGGGTGATAGGTGCAACGGTTCAATGTAGCTACCAGAAGGACGGCACAGTGAGAATCACTTATTTGGTTACCAACTAGCAGAGGGGCCGATATGCATGTCTTCATTACGGAAAAATTTCGACCGTTTCTTAAAGTTTCGTAGGAAACATAAGAGCGACACCTTCGACGGTTTGGAAGGCAAAGTAAAAATCCTGAGCCACGTTTAGGCCTCTGAAGACGACGATCTTGTCCAAACCTCAGGCCAATAATAAAATACAATAATGAAAGCTCCACCTAGCAACCTTGCTGGCACGAGAACTATAACAAAACGACTGCTCCCAAGTTAACGATATTCAAATCAAGATTCCAAAATTACTTGATATGTTCGCTATAGCTTGAACTTACGTCGATCACACTTCGTCGGCAGTAGATTCAACA